CTCAAGACTCCCATCGTCTGGCGAAATTTGATGGCCGCATGGTTGGACAAGGCTTGGACGAGGACCGCCAGGCCGGCAGCCGGCAGCCTGTGTTGGGGCCGGCTCGGTCCAGGCGCGCCTTCATCCGGCGGTTCATCGCAGCTTTGCCGGCGCAGCTTAGTTGCAGTCTTTTGCAGGAGCAAACTTCACAGGAGTCTGATGCTTCCAGTGCGCTTGGACTTGGCTAGGCCATCGGATATTGCTTCGGCGGCCAAGCAGTGCTAGAGCAAGTGCGTGCAGGATTTGTCCACGATTATCCACAACTGTTTACGGCTTCAAACGACCATCGAAGTCTGGGCGGGGCAGTGCTCTGCAAAGCAACCCGTCTCACTCCCAGGACACTCAATCCAGGCGGCTGTGACCTTCCACGGCCTCTTGCATTCCCGACCGCGACGGGTGGAGAGTGTCAGGGGCAATGGCTATGAGGGGCGAATGACTGCAGAGGAAGCCCAGCTGGTGTGAGTGGCACAGTCTTCCCACAGTGTTGCGAAGGGTTTTCGGCGGAATGCTTCAGCTCGCCTTGACAATTGTGAGACATCCTGCTCCTTTCGATACTGTCTCAAATGTCGATGTGATAATGATCGGATGCTTTGTTTATTCATGCATGCTCATGATTATGACGATGAAACTGTTGCTGATGGTATCGATGGCTTGACTGTGTAATGCCGTATTGCTTAAAAACGATTTGGTGATATCCCCCTCTGATTTTGAAACGGAGCCTCAACGAGCGGAGGAATTTGCCACTGATTCCAGCATCAAGAAAGCGCCGAACGTCTACTCCACCAAATGCAAGGCAGGAAACCTCTTCAAGAGTGTTTCGGCTGAAAGGAAAATCAGCGTTGCCAGCGCAGGTGCTCATCGAGAACGGCGACTTGGATGATCATGTGCCAGCAGAGTCGGTTGAGGACGTAGCCAGATCAGCCACCACCCATGGCCTAGAAGGCAGAGAAGATTCTTTTGACTAGTGTTGTGCGTTTATATGGCTTGGGAGGAGTTTCGCTGTGAAATGGATGCCAATGGTATCGATTGGCGGATCCATACTCATGCTCAAACTCCACATGGCTTCGCCCTGGCACCGGGCCGGATCCTGAGGACGAATGCTTAATTTTTTACAAGACTCTTGGCGGGTCATTGCGCAACATCTCGTGCACACAATATGCCACCAATCCTAACCAAGGGATAAGAACATGCTGCAAAAAGGTCACACAGGTCATCTTCTGAAGTAATCAGGCATGCTGGAGTCGTCCGTGTGTTACTTTCAAGATTTGCACGCAGAGGCACGTAGAGGCCGTCACGAGGAGGCAGAGCAGAGGCCACGATGCTCTAAAAGGCCCACAGGCTCCGCAAAGGCCCTGCAAGCCAGCCAAGCATTGCCACAGTTACATTCGTTCCCATCATCTGTGCGCTTCTAGGTCACTGATACTGCATGTAGCCATATATTGCCACAAAGGTCTTTGCACTGTCCTCCGACCATGGGCCAGACATGCGGCATCTCTGAAAGGCGTGTGGAGCACGGCATACCGAGAGGATGCAGATCGGCGTTCCACTCTGTCGATGCTGCAGCTTTTTGCGGAGGCCAGTGGGGAGTTCCACAGAATTTGAAAGAATGTACAGTAGTCCAACATAGTCCAACAAGGTGTGGCCCGAGTTTCCTCAGCATGCAGCATCTCGGCTGCATGTAGCCTCTGCATCTCGCTCGAGCTGAGCCTGTGAAGGTTCCGACCAACGCCTGTGGGACTGTGTTGGGTCAAGCCATTCGAATCGTGCCTAAACTGTGATGTGGAGAAGTTCCACGATCGCAGCAAGTGGTCTGTGCAGAGGCTGCACGTGGACAGGGCCGTGTGCTCGAAGCCACAAGTGCTCGGGTTCTGTCCAGTGCTGTGCAGAGACTGCAGTGCGTGGTGATCACAAAAGCACTGCCAGCTTTTTAGCATGGCTCGGCATTGGGGTCTTCGTGTCCAAAGGGTGCTGAACCGGTGGAGGCTGCGCCCGACCGGAAGACGGCTCTCCAGGTCATTCGCGAGGCGCGACAGTGATGCGCGGAGAACATACCAGGTGCAGTGCATGTATTTTGGTTCTCATTGTGACAAGATGAAAAATCCCTGAGTGGGCAAACCGGCACATGCTCCGTTGAAAGCATAGTTTGCGCACGGGGATTGTCAGTGTAGGGAAGTCTTTCTCCTGGAGCCTGAGTTCAGCCAAGGCCTGTTTTGATATTTTTGCTGAGCCGCCAACATCGTGGCTTGTTGTAGGTGCATAGCACCGTGCTTCCATGCCACGGATACGTGCTGCCAGAGGACGGTGAGGACCTCGAGGCTCCAGAGCAGAAGCATGTGCCTGCCCGGCTTCGCCCAACTTGAATGTGCTGAGCCACCGCAAGTAAAAGCCCTCATCAAGCTCACTAGACTAAGCCGGAACTATTTGGAGGTCAGCAAGAGAGTGCAGCAAATGCAAGGATTTCTCCAGCAGCACGCTCAGAGATTCCCGAAGGGTTGCTTCTTTCATCTAAAAGTCTTGCACCGCAGGATGCTTCAACACAAGGTCTGCCAAATGCAGATGGCGACGGCGATGTGGTGGGGACTCGACTCACGTGAATGGATGAGATGGGACCACGCCATTGTAAATGAAGATACGCGCTGTTACTCGCTCAAGCGAGTTGGACGTGGCGATGACCCATAGGGCGATCCGCACTAGCATACGAAGGACTCGAAGCCACTCGGACGTGGCTAAGATCATGTCCACAGCTGCGGTTCCAACGCAAATGAGGATGCAAGCAACGGGGACGTGGCAGCGACACCCTCTTTACGGATGGGATCTCTCACAGAACTCACAACCCAACGGCGCTTCGTGACCGTGATGCCGCTCGCTACTTCGAGTGACAGTCTGAAAACGAGAACTTGCCAGAAGCCGTGTGCGGCGTGCAACTATTTGCAGCTGCAATGCTGCATCGGAACCCCCCCAGCTGCAAGCGGAGCACCTTCGAGATGGCTCAGGTCCGGAAAGGTGGATCTGAAAGTGGCCGAGGCCTTGGATTACACCGTGCTGCTCTCAGGCGCGGGGATCCTTTTGAAAGTTCTGTGCCGATTTCACGGCATCCGAGACAGAGTGCATCAGGCTGCTGTCTGAGAGTGGAGTGATGCGGAGCCTTTGCTGGAGGCTACGGTCGCCTTCTATCCAAGCCGCTCGTGACGCCGAGCAAGCAGAAGGCGGAAAATCTCCCGGTTACCTGAACGCTGTTTGGTTGCCAGCTCGCGGCCAGGCCACGACGGTGTCACAGCGAGCCTTGGTGGTTCTGCAGGGGCCGTAGCGAAATTCGACAGCCTTGTGGCCTAGTGGTAGCTGGTGCCTCCAAGGTCCGAGGATTCCCAACAAGCTGTTCGTGACACTTGGCCTGAGCCTTGTTGGGCATTCTGGCTGGTAAAGTCGAGATACAGCGAGTACAGCTCAATTTGCACAGCAGCCCACCCCAGTCAGCTACAGTCCCGTACAGGACTCACAGCCACAGACCGCCGAAGAGCCTTTGGGTCGCATCGACATGGAACAAGTTCGAGCCGAAGGACTGCACCTGCTCAGTTTACGACAGCAGTGTTCTTTCTCTGTGCTTGATGTTGACTTCCGTTGTAGGAAATGAAATGGGACGGCTCCAAGTTCTACCATACCTTCCAGGAATCACCTCTAGATTTCGCCTCTATCCACACGTAGTTTCTAGGAAAGTGGCAGTTGCTAAGAACAGCCTGCTCTCTTGTCTTTTCCAGGTCGGAGCCAATGGCTGGGAGAGCTTCCAGTTGCTGATCGATGGAAGGCCGAGCGGAGCATGTGGAGGTTCATCGAGCTGGTACAGGTCATGTCTCGCATACTATGCAGGTGGGAGCAGTGTGTGGGACCCCAAGCTTGACAGTGAAAGTTGTGTTCAGGGCGTCTGCTTGAAACGATGTGACAGGAGCTCGTGTACGTCGTATCGAAGACTCCCTTGGGTTAGTTAGATAAGTGCAGTCAGAAGTCAAAAAGGATTCAGGACCGGCCTGTGCAAGGCTTGCTTGGTGTGTAGACTTTGTTGAGTGAGATCATACATCTGAGGTTTATCCCAGTGTTGCAGATGCATGCCCGTTTGTGGAGTACCGCTTGCTCGGGTTCACCTGCCACGAGATTTAAGAGGTTTCAGGAGACTGCAAGAGAGATGGCTTCTGGCAAAGCCGCGTGTGCCTGCCAGGCCCGATAACCGTGGGCATGGCAAGAATTGGACTGTGGGAAGGCGCCTGTGTGATACGCTTGCGAAAGAATGTCTACGTCCGGTTCGCACATGTACAAGGATTGGCAGTGCGCGATGGGTGTCCCTGCACAGGCATCCAGAGGACTCAGCAAAGACCGGCGAGCGTGTTCGCCTTGCTGTTGCGGTACTTCCTGCCCGCTTCTGGAATGCTTCAAAAGTCACAAAGACAGACATTCAATCTTCAACGTGCCAGGTGAATAGCCAAGGCCTCCCCAAGCAAGTGTCCTGGCGCAAGGAGGCGGAATTTCATTGTACACGCAGATCAGCGCGACACTGGTCGAAATGGAAAGAGCATTGACAACATCTGAAAAAGTGGAGAATGACATGTCTCATGCTTAGACCTTGGGGTTCCTGGTTCCTTTGCGTCGGATGCACACCGCTGGAACCTGCTCGAGTCTTTTCAGAAGATTCAATGGCCCGGCCACGGGTATGGTCCTCGAGTCTAGAAGCGTCATTTTTGGTTTTGCACAAATTGAGACAGCAGCGTCTGTTGCACCTCGAAGTATCCGTCAATGATTGGAAGCTCGGGCTGCTGTGAATCCGAATTTCAAACGACTGAACTGGCCTCGCACAAGTCCAGAGAACGAGCGAATGGCAGTTACAACTCCATCTGTGGAGCCTGCGAAATCCCGGGAAGCTGTATGGGCCCGAAACGCCTCCCCTTTGCTCTCTGCTCGGTGGATCTCCAGCAATGTCTGCATTCGTGGGGGCCCTGGGCCCTCCGAGCGCAAAATTCAGTTCGTTCTGTCTTTCTTCAGGTGCTCGAAAATGTGCCCGGTGTTTCGTCGGCCGGTGTCAAACTGCAGGACGGGGAAATGAGCCCTTGCGGGATGTATCTGCCCTCGACATGTGCACAGGCATCATCACAGGCACCTTGCAATTCGGCGACATCAATGCGGATCTCGGAGGCTTCGCGGAGTTCGCTCCTCGCAGGCCTTGGGCGGTGCTTCCACAAAAATGCCGCGTTGCCTGCGGCGTGGCCACAGGTGCGGCGGCGGCAGTTGCTGGCTGGGTTGGCAGGAGCCGCAATGTGAGGGACGCGAAAGGCTGGGTCAGATGCCCGCGCGACGAAAATGGGCCCCCTTAGCCCATCGCTGCTGCTTGCAGATGCAGGCGTGCGGCCCGCACGTGCGGTGACCGCAGTGGCACGCCACGCCGGCACAGAGCTGGATGAATATGGCCCCTGGTCCTTCGTGAAGCTCGTGAACGGAGATTCGGAGGTCCCTGGCCGCAGTTTAATCGCATTCAGCGCAGTAGAAGCCGCTCTTTACAGCAGGGACAAGCCAGCATCTCCCTGTGTCTCGAGGCTTTCAAACCTAAGAGTTGCAGCTGCACAGAGTAAGACTGACAAAGACCTTGCCCAGGCCACGGTGTACCTGCGTGGTGCCCACGTGACCTCCTTCAAAGTGGCTGGAGTAGAGTGGATTGGGATGCGGGCAGACTGCAAGCTGGATGGAACAAAGCAAAACATCAGCGGAGGCCTTTTCAGTTCATAAAAGCACGCCCATGCCAGCATAGCCGAATCACATCCATCCACACCCTCAAGCTTGCTACAGGTTCCTCAGCTTGCTCGGGTACTCTGAGGCTTAGGTTCTGTCTTTAGTTGTGTAACGGTGCAAGCGCAGAAGGCCTGCAACATAGGGTCAGACATTTGCACTTTACCGATCTCTGTGACTTTGTGAGCTTCGGTTGAACGCTTCTCTGCGAAGGCATCCCGATCTGTTTCCCACAGTTCGGGCCTGGCGAGGTCATTGTGCAGCACGGCTCCTCGCCTTCTAGGGTTTCAGGGCCTCGCGCCTTCGCAGACTGCGTTGGTGTGTGTGCGTGTGTGCGCGTCCACTCCTGTTCCAAAGGGTTGGGACAGTAGCTGCGCGTGAGACAGAAGTGATTCCGAGAATGGCGTCATTTTAGCAGGGGGGTGCAAGGAGCATGCTAGCGTCTTGCACCAACGAAGATGCTCTAGAGTGCTTGTGAAATCATGGCGAGACGTACCTGCAAGGCCGCCCAAATCTGCACCCTCAAATTGTTGCTGTTTCTAGACTTAGCCATAATGACGCTGGAGAGCGCTGGAGTCAAAATGGCACAGGGCTAAGCTTACAACCCCGGATGGTGAGTTTTCCCATTGACTCGAGACTTGGAGACACGTTTGTGTCAAGTTTTGTGTCAAGTATACATACATACGTGTGCGCGTTTGTTTTTTTGAGTGCAGGAGTGCTTGACATGGTTTGACGACGTGTATCTAGGCTGAATCTAGGCCTTGGGACGACCTCGCACGAGCACCGCAGGCACCACCGTAAACCCAAAGATTAAGGGGCTCGAGTTTCAGGTTCAATTTGAACAAGGTGTGGGATCTTGAGCTTTCAATGGGACTGACAAGTGCTCCACTTGACACATCGTATCCTGCATTTTTGTTTGTTTTCGATTTAGCAAGTACCACACGACCATTCGGGCTTGTGTTTGCAAGCTTCAGGTATTATTTTTGTCGATGAATTGCACTCACGGCAGTTTCATGGGGACTGCAGCATGACCTCACAAGTGCTGGTCCGCGTCAGACGGCAATATTTCTTGTTTTAGTCGCAGTTTGCACTCAACAGTCCGCAGATTCGACTTTTTTGCGTTTTCAGGTTTTGCCAGGAACATGGACTGGAAGTTCCTGGCCGAAGAGAGCAGCGATGGCGTTTGTGTTCTAGAACTTACTGAGACGGAAGAGACGAAGAAGGCACGTTGCTTTCTGGGGTTCCGATGTCAACGAATGTGAAGCCAGGTGACCGAGGCAGACCATCGAAGATAATCGAAGCTGTAGTTGAGCTGGCCTGAAGAGGCCGCAATTCTCTCCGCAGCATTCACTTGCGCCTTCGTTTCCTGGACCGAGCCTTTCTTTCTTGTGCCGCCCCTCGAAGCTGGCTGTTTTTCGAAGTCATGGTTGTGTTTGTTGGTTTTGGCTCGCTTCTTCGTGAGACCATGTCGGGTGCTAAGACTGAGAGAAACCCAAGCCCAGATTGGCTGCACTCAGTGCCGGTAGTCCACACCAGCATTGTGGCTGGTATCGGCGGAGCTTTTGGGGTCTTTGCTGGTGCAACTGATATTGCTGACTTTTCAGTTTGGGCCTGGCGTTGTGACACACGCCCTTTCCTCCTCCTCAATTCTCTCTCCCCACAGCACATGTTCGTGTCTGCTGATGCCTAAACCTCCCTGTCTTCCTTTATAAAGCTCTGGTCTCTCTGCTTCTCTGCTGGGCTTTGCGACTGTTGGCTCGTCCAAGAAGTCAGCCACAAAGGAAAGACGACGCACTGGAAAGTGTGGCGGATAACTTCGATTCAATTGTGACTCCTGCAATTGCTTAATCTCGCCGTGCCACCGAAGCCGAATTCCTAGTTGCCAGATGGTTTGCGAATGCAAGTGGGATGGTTCCCACCCAGGAGGTTCATTTTGTTTCGATCGCTCGCAAGCTGCTTGAAGGTCCGGTTGCTCCGAACATACACAAGACGGAGGCACGCAATGCCGAGGAGATGCGAGCGGCAAATGCCGATCGACAACTCCATACCCAGAGTTAGAATGACATCCTCCAACTTCTTAAGAAGCTCAAAGTTCCTTGGGTGGATCATGGCGGAAGAGGTGCAGAGCAGGAACTGGTGTGGGGTCGTGGCCATACTGAGGAGTGCACGCGTGGACCGCAGGAAGAGCACCCCCGAGTTGAAACACACGCTGGGCGTACTTGTTGTGGTAAAGGGAACGTTGCTGCCAAAGCACCTCCATTTGTTGGTAATCGGCAGCGGATTTGTCAAATTTGCCCACGTGGCTCGTCAGAGTCGTCCGACGGTGCGAGCAGCGATTCGCTTTCAGCGCGTGGTGTCTTGGGTACCGGAGGTGATCAGGCCCCGTGCAGCCATGCAAAAAGATCGCAGAACGAGACCTTGCCACTCAATTGAGCACCGGAATTCATGTGCGCGTGTGTGCCTGCTCAAGCCATATGCAAGACAAGATGCAAGATAACTGTTTGACAAGGTAGCCCAAGTATAATGTAAGATAAGATCAACAAGGAATATCAGAAAAAAGGAACCAGAGACGACAAAATAAGCTTGGGCAATTAGGCCATGGTACGATTGAGTACGGCAGTGCGAAACTCAACATATAATAATGCCCTCATGTGGTATAGCACAGTATTGTATAGTGTCGAAAAGAATAGTATAGAATAGTGCAGTAAAGTGCGGTATAATACAGTGGAGCATAGTAGAAGACAGGCGAGCGAACTGTAGGTTATAGATCGATATAGTTTCTATAGTTCAATTATGTGTGATAGTGTGGTATGTTAATTAAGGCCTAATCAGGTTTAGCCTTATAGTACAGCCTAATATAGCTTTATATAGTCGATCCAAGTTCAATACAGTGTTAAAGTATAGTGTCGTTTAACATGACATAATATTTCATGAGCGTGTGTTGCTCACGTATAGCATAGCATAGTATAGTGTAGTATAATATAGCACAGTATGACTTAATAAGGTATGGTATAGTATAGTACAGTATAGTACAGTATAGTACAGTATAGTATAGTTACTATACTATAGTATAGTATAGTATACGTAGTATGAGAAGTACAATGTAGTGTATTATAGTCTAATATGATACAGCATTAATACAAATAAACATAGTCTAACATATGAGGTAATATATCTTGTTATATATTATCATATAGCATCATACAGTATCAATTGGTTTGATATAGTCTAACATAGTTTCATATAGTAGAATGTAGTATAGTACCGTAGAACATAATAGAATACAGGACAACATATGAACGTATTGTCCCATATAGTATCTTACAGTATCGTACAATATCATGTAGTATCATATAGTAGTATAGCATAGTAAAATTAGTGTAGTACAATATAGCTGAATATAGTAACATTTTCAATATAGTATATTTTGGTATATCACAAAGCATCGTGGAGTGTAACCAAAATAGTAAGGCACACTAAAGTGCAATAGAGTATGTCAAAATTATGTGAAGTAAAGTTTGCCCTAGAAGTCGTACCTAGTCTAGTGTATTATCTGTGTAATCGAGTACGACCTAACAGAATGTAATATGGCCTAGTACAGTTTGTTATAACCTAGCATAATGTAGCTAATCTAGCATAATGTAGTATTACTTAGTACAATCCAGTAGAGTATAGTAGAGCACAGTATATGAGAATGTAGTATAGTGTAGTATAACGTAGTGTAGTGCAACATGCACGGTAGTATGGGTTGGGGTCTTGTGTTCCGAACGAGCGGGAAACAATGACTTGACAGTAAAGTTGCAAATTAGATATTAAATGGAACCACAGCGAACCAGGAGGCTGCAGAACCGAACATGTTGCAAATCAAAGCATTTTGCAACGACTTTGGAACGATCGTAAATCTTGTCATTTCAAGTCTGAAGACAAGCAGGGATGCTTGAATTGACGGTACTGTACCGACAGTGTAAGGGTCGCCAGCGTTAACCACAAAAACGCAACACTGCCAACGTTGCAGAAAAAAAATCTCTGCCTACTAAAAGGAAAGGACTCGAACGGAACATCAGAAGGTGCGAGTTCGATTGAAAAGAATGTAGCTGCAAGCGAGGGAGCAGCGTCAAACGAGTTCGCAGCCAGGTGTGGCCTCACGAGTTCCGTTGCAAGTTCAAGGCTTGCAGCTCCATCACAAAAATTACAAAGCCGATAGTGTCTCCCGCAGTCTCAAGCCGGTTGCACTTTGCTGGCTGTTCCAGGTCGAACTGAAAGACGGTGAGCTGGATACGAGCCTCAAAGTCGAGCCTCGCCTGTTCTGTCTTTTTCTGTGCGCTTTCTGCACGAAAGATCGCTGAGGAGAACTTGTCCAAGTCCGACTGTGAATTCTCGTGTGGACTGCACAGAATCTTGGTCGCAACACTGTCGCGGCTTGACACGCGGTTGCTACCAAACCAGCCAGCAATCGGCTGTGATGCAGACAATGCTCGGATGCAGATGTGTTCTCTGCCTTATGAGAACTAGGTGTGCATTCATTTATGTTCCAGGAAAATGCATGTCTTTCTGGTGCTTTCGATACTCTACATCCTACCTGTGGACTTGTGGCCACTCGCGATCTCTTCGGGTCTTGGATTTCCCAACGATCATTTCTGTTCTGGCTTGTGGGCGACGTCTGCGCGCTTCGAGATCTGTTCGCCCCTTCGGTACCGATGTTGTCGTCACTGCCTGGGCAACAAGTGAACGAAGGCTACTGGAACGTTTCCGACATCGATGCCTTGATCGTGAAGGGCGACTTCAACGGTTGCATGAAAACTGCTCCTTGACTTCACGACCTGTCTTTCAGGGTGGGGCGATGACAACCCGAGGTTGAACTTTCTGCTGGTTGTAGATGTGAAGCCGCTTCACCCAGAAGCTGGGGGGAAGATCACGAGGGATCAGAGCTGCCCGCGTGGGCTCCACGGATGTTAGAAAAAACGCAAGTAGCACCACAAGTAGATGCAAAACAGACGCATTCGCCGCTGGAGTTAGAGCGGGACTGGGAACAGGCGCTTCACCGTGTCTCATCTTTCATAGGCATGCATGGGCCAGGGCATGGAGAGTCGCGTCTGGCTTCTGTAAACTTCCGTGTGCATTTCTTGTTGCACGTGCGTGGGAAGGATCGCACGGCAGATCCGCCTACGCCGTTCGAGTACAAGCAGGATGAAATTACCATCAACTCCTTCGCGGACGAGATGTATGGCAAGGTGCCCGCATCTTGACACTCTGACCTGGGACCCTCACAACGCGAAGTGCTAATGCACTTGACAACCACGGGGCCTGAAAGCGATATGCTGGCAGGTCCTTCCTGGCACCGTGGTTCTGGAAGATCCGGGAAAAGGCGTGAGTGGCTTCAAAACCGGAAGGGATTGCGAGGTCTTCTGGATTTGGCAAGGGACTTGGGAGGGAGCGAGGAACAAAGTTGATACAGAAGACATCCAAAGACTTCAGAATCTCGCTCTGAAGCCCTTACCCCGTTGTCAGGCGAGCTTCAGATCAAGAGCGGCGGTGGGTGGAAGGATGTTGTTGCTGCTCGGTTCTGGTGATTCCAGCCAGGGCTTGATCAAGCACAGGCAGCAGAACTAGTGCCGACGGCCCTTCATATCGCTGAGGTTTGGAATCCATACGGTGATGACAAGGCTGCTGCGCCCTATGTTAAGGAGTTTTTCTTTCGGTGGATCGGGGTGGCCTTGTCATGTCGACCAGCCCACGTGTGTCACGTAGTAGGCATGTTCTGCATGTTGTCGTGTATACTCGTCTAAGAAGATGTGTCGCAACATGTTGCAAGCTTTTGCCTCTGTGAATGTCGTCTGACAGTTCGCCTGTTGTGCACGAGTTTTTCTGCTCCTTGCTTGACCCTGCAGGTGGGCTACAAGACGTTTGTCTGCGCCACCTGGCTGCACACCTGCATGCTACTGTTCTGTGTCTGCCCTGTCCAGTTCTAAATCGGCAAGAACGTCGGCAGGTTGAGAGCGTGGAAACCGAGACGGTCTCGCTAGCCGCAGGCAAAGCCTGGGAGGCGACCATGGACTTGGTGCCGAGAAACAAATAGCCCTCCAAAAGGAGCGGACAGTCGCAGAAGGCGCTGCTCCCTTGGCCAAGCAGCGCCTTTTTTTTGCTGTCAATCCGATGAACCTGCGCGAAGCGAGCGAGACGAGTTCATCACAGCACATGAGAAGCAAATGTCAAGGCAGGCAGCGGGTGGCCACGAAGAGCCAAATGTAAGGAGTAGCAGCGCTGCCACTGCTGACACTGCCGGAAGAGCTACGTGTATGGCGAATCTATTCAGCTTCGTGCGACGGATTTGCGTGTGTGTGTGTGTGTGTGTGTGTGGGTGTGTGTGTCCGGTGAGACTGTCCCCGTGTGATCACCTGCGACTCTCTTACATGGTTTACATGCCCCAAAAAGGCGCAAGAAGCCTAGGCCTAGACTGGGTGTGTCGCAGCAAACCGAGAGAATGACGGATTTCTGTATTTTTGAACGGCACGGCCCCGGAATGCGACAGGATCGCCGTTTTGGCTGTTCGAGGCAGAAACATCGGGAGTGGTCGTGGCACACAGGTATTGCTCATGTCGACGAAGTGAAATGAATTTCGGACGGTTTGATTTTCAGCTCACTTTTTGTGTCTTGTTGTGGTTTTGCGCATCTCATTTGCCTCAGAGGGGCTGTTTCCACTGTAGCATGGTAGGAGGGGTGGTGCCCAGGACTTTCCATACTGTTGGGATAGTTTTGCCATGCAATCATGATTAAAGGCTGGGGCTTCGGAACTTGGATGCTTCAAGGTTCAGGTTTATCGCGCGTTCAATAGACCTCTTTGCTCCTGGGAGCGCACAGCACAGAGAATTTGTTCTGGATGGCCTCTTATTTGTGCACAGTTCGTGTACACTCAGTCCTGCAGACACGGAGAAGTTGTGCCAATTGTTTTTTCCCAAGCGCAAGAAGTGCCGCCACATGTCCGAACTGAGGGCCGAGGCGAATGATTGTCTAACTGTGTTGTCGCGTGGAAGCTTAGGTTAATCGTGCCCAATCACCCTGCCTTCATCACACAGCGTCCTTCGCGACGCGTTGTAGCCTTTGTTCTAAGCTGCAGCAGCTATTGCTTAAACTCTGAATCTCTGACAGGTCACACTGAGGATGCCGCAGCAACCTAAACAGTGTCAGACTAGACTGCCATCCCTGACCCAGCCATGGCACCCTCATAGACGAAGAGCTGGAGCTCTAGATTTTCCAAACTCTTGACCACTGTGCTGCGCTATCTGCATGCACGCGTGTGCTGCACCGCCATTGCTTCGCAGTCGCTTCACTGGCGAAACATATGAAAACAGTTCGTGCAGATGCTCGATGGTTTAGCATTCTATGCTCATGAAGTGTGTGGAGGCATGCGCTGCAGATTACTCTGCTTCCTGCTTCCTGAAAAGCCTTGTCGGAGGTCCGGCGGACTCCCCCGCAACGCTGAGCAGAGCTGTCGCAGCTTGTCGTGGAAACGGCTGAGGTGTGGCCCTGAAGTTCAGCCGAACTTCGAACTGTTTACTCGCACCCGCGGCCCGCAAGTTCTCCTCAGTGAAACATTTTGTACATAAAATGGAAGGAAATTTCGGCAGAGGGCCAGTGAGGACCAGCTCGACGCAAACAAAAGTCATGACTTACTTCACTGGCTTTGTGGACTTTCCTGCTTTCGTGGTCGCGGCCTAACACGGGCAGAAGGCGCCCAACATGGTGTGCAAAAATGGCGCAGCCAGCCCCCAGTTTAGGCTGTGCATGTATTCATATGTGTTCCCTGACTTTTGAGGCTGAGCTGCAGGCGACGGTTGCCAACCAACAGCCCCCACAGGTGCGGTGTCACAACTTGAAGAGTAGCACTGGGATTGGTGCGACCCTTTTGAAGGGCGCAGCGCCTGCCTGGATGTTGCAGCAGCTTCAGGCTCCGGCTCTGTTGTCAAGCACGGCGAGACATGATCTTATGCTACAGGTCCTTGAGGCGGACTACGACTCGCTCGAATTAGTGTATGCGCAGGTGGGCTTCGCAAGAGGATAGGCCGGCTTTTTGTCTGCCATGTCCTGCCCCCACTGGAAGGCGCAGGAGCAGCGAAAGCAGCTGGAGAACCGCGTCCTGCACAGGCTGTTCAACCGTTCCCTGAAGCTTTGCCCGAGCAGACATCATGACATCATGTCCTCCATAATCTGACAGCCCAACGATTGTTTTAGACCAGCTGCCTATCACGATATGTACGGGTGCGCGTGTGTGCATATGCTGCATATACATAAATACATACCAAAAGCTCTCCTCGGCCCTAGACCAAAAGGTGACGATGGTGGTCCTTATGTACTGTGGTTATGTGAGGTAGAGATGGTGTGGGAACCCGTGATTTTTTTTGCTGTAGTTGCTTTATGCTGGTTTTTGGTTGTTTTTTGTTGTCGTTGCGCGGACCCAGGAAGCCAGTGAGTGAGTGAACCCCGGTTCCCGCAACGACAGCAAAAAGTAAACGCCCGCCCCCCCCCCCCCTCCGCAACGACACCAACAAAATAAACGCGCCCCCGCGACGACAGCAAAAAAAATAAACACGCCCCCCGGGACGACAGCAAAAAGATAAACGCGCCCCCGCGACGACAGCAACAAAAAAAACCGCGCCCCCGGGGACACCAGCAAGAAAATAAACGCGCCCCCCAAAAACGATAGCAACAAAATAATAAACGCGCCCCCCAACGACAGCAAAAAGATAAACGCGCCCCCCCGGGACGACAGCAAAAAAATGAAACAACAGCAAAAAAATAAACGCGCCCTCCGGGGACGACAGGCAAAAAAATACACGCGCCCCCGGGGACAGCAGCAAGAAAATAAACGCCACCCCCGGGGACGACAGCAAAACAAAAACGCGCCCCCCGGGACGACAGCAAAAAGATAAACGCGCCCCGGCAACGACAGAAAAAGCAACGACAGCAACCAATAAACACTCTTACCCTCTCTACCCCCTCAGCTACCTTACTAAGTACCTTCCGTCCTCCCTCCCGACGTGCCTACCTAAACCTACCTATGCCTACCTCCTGCCTAGCCGCCTGGCCCACCGCATACCTGCCTACCTACCTTACCCGTCTACCTGCCTACCCCAATGCGCAGAAAAATAGTTAATGTTTGCTACTGCTATCTACTGCTGCTTGATTGCTACCGAGATATGGCCGTGACTGTCCGTGCACAGCATAGCCGGATGACATGCAGGTGTTGTGTTTTGGGTAGTAGTTAGAAGATGCTGTCCTGAAGCGTCGTAAACCATTGCATGCAGGGCCACGTCCTGAATGAAGAAGCTCATGGCTGTCATGTCGAAGATGGGTCGAATCTATTCCTACTTGCTAGATCGCTACTGTTCAGAAAGCTGTTATGGCATGTTGCACTGAGCTTCCTTTCTGGTAGCCTCCTGTGCTCTTTCGGATCCTGCGCCTGTCTGAACTGCAGTGCAGTTGTGATGGATCGCAGCAAGTTTCGTGCGTGCGAGGCCTTGGTTGCACCGCCCTGCCTGGCTCAGTGGAATGGCGCAGTTTCACCTCAAGAAGCCGTTTCTGGCATGGGGCGGGGAGGAAGCAAATGGACAGGTCCCACAGTATTCTCTAAATAAGTCAAGTGATCCCACTGATTCTGCTTCGCTCGTTTCACTGAAGCATGTCTTGATGTGCCGCGCAAGATGCGTGGGAAGAAGCCATGAGATAAACCGAAAAAGGTTTCGGACATCAGCTCTCAACCATGGATCCGCCAACGGATGGGAATGTCAGCGTCATCAGGTTCTGAGTGCGCACTCTGCTCTAGTTCGGACATTTTGTTCTTCACGCTTCTTGTTATCACTAGATTTTTCTTGCTCTGGCCTTGGAGCCGGCACTCTGCAAAGCCTCGCCAAGTCTGGCACTGTATTCCCCTCCCCTGCCGCGACAGAGACGAACCTCGGTGTGGTCATCCCGAGTTTGTCCGCTTTACACCGCAGGAGAGGCCTCACACAGAACGCCTTGAAAGAGGCCCGGGAAACGAGCCTGCAGCAGTGGCTAGAATGCGAGTAGAAGCCTTTCCAGGCCTCATGGCTGTAGGATTGCGGTGTGTTCCCAATGTTTGGAGTAAAGTGGCATTGCTGCCGTCGAAGCTTTGAAAGGCTTGGGGGTTCGAGGCTCAGGGAAACGGCAGTTGTGTACATGGACTTGGAAAGTTGAAATCTTCTGCAGCCGGCTTTCTTTCGAGTTGACCTCGAACATTATGCAGCTCATGCGCATCCGCGTGCCTCTCACACCGTGCTCCTTCCACTGCAGCCTTCTACCCTGACAGACACATCGTCACACGAATCATTACTTGCACAGAGAACAACAAGAGGAGTTCCATCAGCAGTCAAGCTCCGGAGTCATGGCGCCTCGAAGCAGCCTGGTGAGCAGATTGCTGCTAGTTCCTTGCCGGGCCATAGATCGACTCATCAGCCTTCCTCCTATACAGGTCAGAGTGCCAGGTTTGATCCGTTGAATGTCATTCCTTGGCAGCTGCAGGTTGCAGTTGCCAGCACCGTCGTGAACCTGTCCTTCACGGGAGGTGCTGAAAGTCCTTGTTGTCGAGCCGGAACTGTTCGCTGTCCTATGGGATCTTTCTGGGAGTTGCAGGGTTCACGAATGTACAAAGGATTGATGTCTGCAAGTCCGGCGGAACGTACTTCTGGTATCTTCCGGTCGTTTACGCAGATGTAGCCTCCTACAGCAAGTAGGACCATCGCGTCCTTCTCCGCAGCGCAGTTCCCTCACACTGGCCGCCACGAAGGAGGAAGCAAAAGTCTTGCTGCTTGGCGCTAATTCCTTTCCAATGTAGGGGAGTCTGATCCCAGAGGAGCCCGGCTTTGATGCAAGTGGTTCAAGCGTGTAACCACCGCATTTTGATGCATTTTGCGAGTCTCTGCACTCAGGAAGTTATGCGCCGAGCTCAGATTTCCGCGAGGGGGGAACACGGCTCCCAAAGAACTGCTGTGACTTGCGGTCTTGTGCCAGATGACGAGTCTAGGTGAGCTTCCGCCGAGGTCCAACCTAAAAGGGTAAGCG